TATTTATTTTTTGTCCATTTACACACATTATATATCAATTATTTATAATTAAAAGTGAAAAACTTAAAATACAAAATGAAAACAAAGTAAAGAAATAAAACATATTTCATATTTCAATAAAATCATTTTTCGTAAATTTTTAATAATCTTCCTGCCCCGGACCATGATCTCATAATAAAACACTTGAATGGTCACAATTTCAACTTTAACCTTTGAATGTGTACAGAGCAACTGTGTCATGCCGGCCCACGATGTTCGCTATGACTCAACTGGGCCTAGGCTGTTAAGTTAGCGATGAATAGCAGGGCAGTGTAGTATTTTGTTACAATTAACGTAACCACAGAAACATTTATTGTATTCTTATTGTCTTTATCAATTTAGCTTGTCTATTGTGTTTAGGTAAACTAATTATTTTGTTACAATTTGTAAACTGTTGAAATAATAGTGGTGGTCGGGAGCCTGTAAATCCTGGTCGGAAATGTCGAGTGCTGGACGGGCCCGTCCACCGCCGACCAGCGTGGTGACATCCCTGATATGTGAAATATTAAATATTCAAGACATTTTGTACTAAAACAGGCAGAATCTTTAACTTTTTTATTATTTCATCATCCATGTACCTTTGTTTTTATATTAAATTTGGCATCTATATTACAATCAGAAAACTATAATTTGTACTGTACCATAATTTTGTTTTAATAAACACCACAGGACATTTACTATTCAAAATGTTTTTTATGGGGAGGGTGTAGATTTTAAAAAAAATGGATGTGACATTTCCAACTTTATACACCCCTTACTGTAATAATAGTCTACAATGTATACGGTAATAAAGTTTGAAAGTTCCTTGATAGCTAACATTGTCTATTTAACATCACAATAATTCATTATTATTAGACCTATAGTTGTGTTTTGAATTGTACTCCACAAATCTCAGCCAATACCTCGCACAACTCGTTAATGTCTCGTATCTATTGTCGTGACGTCATGGCTCGCTGGCTCACACTTGTGATGTCTCGCACTTGTGATCAAATAACACGCTGGCTCCCACTTTGGCAACACTCTTTGGCAGTCAACTCGCCCCTAGATAACCCGCCCTAACTTGCCCCATAAAAAAATATACACTTCCTAGACCATGCAGTCTTCAAAATAAAAATTGTAACCTTTGGTAATCAACTAAATTTTCCACGTACATAGAAATTTTTGTAACTTTATTAAAAAAAACCTAAACCATAATTCACCACTATAGACACTTTTTGACAAAAATGAAAAATTATGACTTTGCTACCCAATGAGTAGTGTTCTAATATAGACAATGGGTCGTGTCTCATATTATTTGTTATATTTTTATTATTCATTATTTTCACTTGACTCGCATAAATAATTTTGTTCAAAGAACATTTATATGCAGATGTACTTCGCAGCACTTCACTTGCAATTTGCAATTTCTAGTAAAATAAATCATTATTGCCAGCAGAGAGCACAATTCCTGTGTAAAAGTTATCCATCTTTCAAATAACACTTAAAATAAATAGATGATGATTTGTCTTGGGCTGTTTTTTAAAGAACATTGCTTAAAAGGTATTTCCTAATCATTTCCTGGTCAGTTTTTCTTCTGATACTTTCAATCCGTGCATGGTGTTACTGTTTGCTACGATTCAAGTCAAATTGTTATGTTTTTGTTATGGCATTGGATGCTGACTGTCATATAATTTATCAACAACATATTTTTTAACAAGAGGCTAAAGAGATTTTATTGTTACCAGAACAGAAGATAGAAATATGTTAACTAAGCTTAGTTCTAACAGACCTTTTTTTTCTTAAAAGCAGTAGTTACCATATATAAAGCTTTGTCTACACTATCAAATTATATGTGACAAAAAAATGTGATGTGCCCATATATGGGTACAATGACTTCATATTACATACTTTCAAATTGTATCAAAAAAGTTCAACTCCTATTTTTCATCACATTTTATAATGTGACCCTTTTGTGAGGAAATTTGATAGTGTAGACAAGGCTTAAAATATCACAAGTTATAAATCTTAAATTGTTTTAAGTTTCTTCCTATAGTACAAAATTACATTTCATATTGAAATATTTGTACTGTAGTGTATTGATGGTTGATTTAATAAGAAGTACAGTATTTCCTGGATCTTGTTTGTTAGCATTTAAGACCTATTGTTCTTTACACAAGTCACCATTGTACAGTAGATACAGTATAATATTAAAGCCCCATTCCCGGCAAAATTTCACTAAAAATGACTTTTTTTAGAAAATATGCATTTGCATTACTCCAATTATTATAAATCATGGAAAAATATTGGCATGAATTTTAGTTTTACGCAAAAGACTAAAAAAAATGAGAAATACAGACT